TCAAACAGTAGCCGGCTTCTTTACAGCTTAATCTTTTGGCTTCGGTAATCTAAAAACGTGAGTGGATGTGACGACGGGCAGCAGTATACGGTTTATAGTGCTGTATCTCTGTTGTCGTACAGTTAGAGGTGGATGTGAAGGAATATTCTCGGTGTTTTATATATATATGTGCTGTTTTAATCGTAAAATATAGAAATTTGCTTTGAAAAAAGCCCTTAAATAAAGATATTTTAACTCAAAACATTACATTATTATGGCATGTTGGTAACATATTGAATATAAATAACTAAAGGTGGCATTAGGAATCAACAAATTGTTTTATTTCCAAACCTTTAGACGTTGTTTTCTGTATCTGACGACCTGCGAATGAGAGCGTGTAGGAGAAACTAACCTTTAAACTCATGAAAAACTATCTACAGTCAGTGTTTGGTTTGTCCCTCCTGGGCTACTGTAGAAACACCGCGGATTTTACACCTAAAAGTGTAAAATGTGGCCATAACAGGTCATTAAATTACCACGGTTTACTTCAGCTTCCCACTAATCAACCCCAGGTTTACTGGGAACCTTTTTATTTAAGGGAAACCTGTTTTATCATTGAAGTAAACTGACTCAGTGACATATTTTATGGATATTATATTCAGGTTTATGTAAAACGAGTGATTTGGATGAATTCTGGGCAGATTATTTACCCATTTTTACACAATTCTCTGTCTTTATTGTGATTTTTCTCATTTTTAACAATAATAAATACTTAAAATGCTTATTTTTTCTCACAAAATCAGTGTTTTCTTGTCCCTGACACTTATGTTATGGCTCTATTACATAAATTAAACAACCTAGCACCCTTTAAAATGAACATCGAAGCTTTAACGACCCAATAAATCTGACTTTAAAATGTTCCAGGACAACATGGATTATTAGAACATTTTACTATATACATACTAATCAAATCCCAGGTGTTTTCATGGCGGGAAAACCACAATTTCCAGGTGTTTTTCCCAGAACATGTGGGAACCCTATCCCCTCCTTCTGGATCTGCCCCTGACTTTAGCTATGCAGACTTTTCTCCTGCTCCAAAATCTCCAAAACCCACAAAACAAAGTCAGTCACAGGCTGACATGCAGACAGAAAGAGAGCCTCTACACCTCCACTGTTAGTTTAACGCCACATACCCCATTTTTGCAGGATTTTGGTGCTTTTGGGAGTCGATCCGGATCCTCTCTGTGGTCTCTGGAGGGCGGTGTGAACAGGACTTAGCTTCGGCTCTCTCAGTCTGTCATGGCTCCTTCTCTCTCCCCTTCTTCTTCTTGTTGTTGTTAAGTCCTTGGGTACATTTTTCTGTCTGTTTTCACCCGAGCAAACGTGTCTGTGCCTGCAGGATGAAGCTCAAACGGTAGCTTAGGTTTTTTTTTTTTTAAGCCAGCTGCTCCTGTTAGCTGTTAGCTTTTTTTTTTTTTTTAAAAATAAAAAAATAATAGCTTTAGAAGATAAACTCTTGACAACTTTTAAAACACTAAAAATAAATAAAATAGCGCACAGTCACTCAATAAGATAGCTTTATCCATTCGCTGCGAGCTCACTGTGAATCCTCAATCTCAGTAAGCCGACCGCACATATTAAATCCCACTTTCAGTCGCCGGGGCTCTTCCTCGCCATTAACGGTTGGTTTTTTTTCCAACCGCCGCCAGTCGACACCTTTTTTTTTTTTTTAAATTTTAAATTAAACGGGTGTTACGATGGTGGACATCTTCTTCCAACGGGGGGAGCTTCATGTCTTGTTTTTGAGGAGGAAAGACTGCGAACAGTTGGCGTAAACTCCAGGTTGTATCATCCTTCTTCCCTCCTCCTCTTCCTCCTCTTCTTCCTCCTCCTCCTCCTCCTCTTCCTCCTTTAAGGCTTCAAACAACCGACAGCGGTTGATGGTGTTCGGGGTTATTTAACCGTTAAACTCTCGTGAGCTTCGGCCGGGATTCAAACGACGTCCAGGTACGATGCTCAACGGCTCCAACGGCTCCAACGGCTCATCCTCTCATTCATTCTCTGGGCTCCGTCCTCAACCGCCGCCGCCGCCGCTCTGCGACGTCAGCGCGTAAACTCCGAGATTTTACGTAATTGGTAATAAAGTGTGTGTGTGTGTGTGTGTGTGTGTGTACGGAAGCCCATTTCTGCCAATGTGACGGTAATTAAAAAAGATTCTGTGAGTGGCATTAAAGTGAGAAACTTGGTATCTAAAAATAATAATGACGATATTTCCAGATGCCAAGTCAAAATATTAAGAAAGTTTCTCAATATTTTTCAGTGATAAATCAATAATTTGAGATGCTGAATCGATAATTTGAGATGCTAATTCAATAATTTGAGATGCTATATCA